TTAGTAAAAATTTAGCGAAACTAAAGGTTTTACCGTTTTGCCAAATCCAAAATGAGTTTAGACAAGCAACCTTAGACATACCTGATATTTCTGATATTTCTGACATATATGACATATCTGACATGAGCAACATATTAGACATAGTTGATAAATAGACATATTTGACATATTAGATATATTTGTCATATATAATAATTTTAACATTTATAATATATCAGTTTTATCTTTCTATGTAATATATATTATATAAATAGGTAACTTTTAAATTATGTAAAAGACAGGATTTAATAAGTCAGTTTCTAGTAGTTTTAAAAAATAAACAGGCTTATCACATGATACTTTAATTTTATTAATTCATTTTCTTTATTTATTTTTTTTTTCTTTTATCTTTTTATTTTCTTAACTTGTGAATAAGCTTATTATTTTGAAACATAATTATTTAGCAAATTGTGAATTGACATTTGTAAAATACTTGTATAAATACATCTCTATAGAAATTAAGTTGTTAAGTAGACTTGTAAACGTTAAAGATTATTGTACAATTAATAGGGTTTCTCAAAATCAGATTGAATCAAATATTTAAGCAATTTAAATTTGATTTGATTTTTTCAAATTAAATTGAATTGAATTGAATTGAGCTCAAATATTTGATCGAATCAATTTGAATTGATTTGAATTTGATTGAATCAAATCAAATATTCAAATATCAAATCAAATTGCAGAATCTTATCAATTAAAAGAATCAACGCTTAAACACCCTATCTAACAGTTGTAATTCATAATAATTACACATTAATAATACTCAAATTTCTTGATTCTGTAACATTTTAACTTTAATTTTAATCTTATTGCTAAAAATTTGTGATATAAAACCTAGTTAAAGCAAAGTAAACCTTTAATATTTTTAATTTTTAGATAGTATTACAATAATTATAAAATATAAAATGTTAATATAAAATAATTTACAGATATTATATAATAGAATTATTTATAATTATTATATAATATTTATATTATTATATATCATACTTATAATTGTTATTAAAATACTAAACATTTTATTAATTTAAATTTCTTATATCTATTAATTTTTAACATTTTTTTTAAATTAAAATATTATATAAATATAATAGAATTTATAACAAAAAGGAATAAAGTAATATAATTTCTAAATCATTAGAAAAAAATGCTTTTATCTAAGCAAAATTTTAAAATTTTAAATTTTTTATTATTAAAAAAATGGTTTAAAGATAATTTATATAAATTTACGTAAATTTATAAATTATTATAAATTATATAAGATATATAAGTTTTTATAAGATCCATAAAATTATATGTTATAAGTTACAAATTTATGTTTAAATAATAAAAAGATAAATTGCATAAATTGCATAAATTTATAAATTTATATCCATACTATTATATAATATTATAAATATTGTATTTTAAATAATTTTCCTCTTTTTTTAAAAAATATAATATATTTACACAATATGAATTGTATTCTAATGAATTTTAATTGACTTATTAAAGAATTAATTCTCGAAAACTGTATATATTAGAGAAAAATGTCAATGGGCACTTTGACGAAATCATTTGATTGGTTACTTTCAAGAAAGTGAATCACGGGACACAAACATTTCACACATCTGAAACGTTTAGAACGTAACACACATTAATCATGATATCATATCTCAATGGCTTTTTATCAAATTTACAACAATTTGCGTAACTATGATTTATGTAATATTCAGCTGAAAATCAGCTTAACAAGCATGAATACCTTTTTTGCTGCGGAAGGAACCATCCCGTTTGAAATATTACTAAGATTACTAATCTTTTAAAAATGAATGTCTGTGCCTTTTATTCCTTTTTTAAAAAAAAAAAATTTAAATAAATAATAAACATGTAATGTAATAAATAAATGTTGAATCATGTTCTTTATGTTGTTAAAAATGGACATGTGTCAAAAATCTTTTTCTGGTATGTCAACAAATATCCGAAAATTATCTACTAAAAAATGATTTTCAAAACCCTTGCTTGTGGGATTTGGGGGTTTTGTACAAGAAAGGCAATTTGGCAATCTTCATAAACTCGTAAGATTAATTTAACAAAAATTTAATAACCATAAACATTCAATAATAATAATAATAATAAATATATATATTTTTTTTGTTAATCCAAATTCTTGTATTGATACTTGTAAACATTCATTAGATTTTTTACTGATCTTACAGGACCGACCCGAATAAAATGAACCGGAATGGGATTATTGATTTTACAAAGATCGCGTCGCGTGGATCGACAAAATGATGGGGAGAGGTTGCACTTTTTTAAACATCCGATTATTAAATATGATCAAAGGAGGACTGCGGAAGATTCCCGCAAGTTACCAGCAATTCAAGAACAATAATTCCGACGTATGGGGATCAGATTTCCGATTGGGATCCAAGCATAACTTTGCATCATTCAGCCAATTAACCGCAGCGCAAAGACATAAACAGAGGATTCATTTATAATAATCCATTTGCATTGTTTTCTTGGTCTTTTCATTACGCCTTGTTTATCTTGTTTATGGCTTTTTGATTTTTGTATCTACAACTTAATCCGTCAGCTAAATAACACAATCAGGAGCATAATGGAACAACATGCACAATATTCATATTTTATTTAAGGGAAAGGAAATGATGGAAAAAAAAAACTTTGTTGGCATCCGATTGGTCTGCCATTTTTATTTATTCTTTTCTTAATAAAATAAAATAATACAATATGACTAAATTGGGTAAGAATGGGTTGCATTCTTTGAGTTGTTTTCACCTGAGAACATGCGAACCTATATAAAAAAGTAAATTTTCACAAGATAATCGCACTAAAGGTAGTGCTAACCCGTTATTATTTTTTCATTCATACATATCAAGCAAAATTCCCAAAATCTCACCCGATGTGTTGGTAATAATATATAATCATGAAACGTCGTACGTTTTTTTTTTGTTTCGCTTTCAAATTCCTCCTCCTCTCTTTATCAAAAAGGATTTCATAATCGGTCTTTTAACTATCCCACGCATCGCACACGCACGGGAATGACGCGCCTCGCTCTGTAAGTTTTTTTTATTGTTCCGTCTCCTTTCCTAACAAATCTTCCCCGCTTTCACCATGTCAACATGACCCTTTTTCATTATTTTTTATTGATGCACGTTGTTACATATTCTCCTAGCACGCATTACGCAGATGATAATGTAGGTGACTGCGGTACATTATTTCATTCACTAGAAAACTAGATTAAGATTAAAGATTGGTGATAAACTATTGTTTTAAAAAAAAAGAAAATATTACTTTCTTAGTCTTGATACATTTGATACACTAATCCTAATTTACAAACACACAGACTTGCTTGCAATTCTACAACTGAAACGTACGTAATCTGCTTTATCTGTCTTGTGGCTGACTAACTTGCTTGTTTGTGACTACTTATAGAGTTACAAAACGCCCGAACAACATTTGCTACCCGGCTTTGTAGCTTTTTATTTTTTTTTTATTGATTCTTACTCCAAAAAGTTATTTTTATATGGTTGTACTCTAAACTTTAAAGTTTTAGCATGTTATTCGACATGTGCTTCTTTTTTGTCTTCCTTTGATGAGGTCACCTAATCCGAAACAAGATCTGAATTTCAATTGGGAAGTTTTTTTTTTCTTTCTTCTTTTTTTTTTTTCCCTTTCCCTACTTTTACAATGAATTATTATTATATGATTATATTTTATTTTATTTGGGTAGTACTTATTCAAAGTGATATTGGTAGCTATTATAACCGTTGAGATCATGTTGTTGTGAATACGATGAGGCGATTATTTCCATTCTTACGTAGAAATCACGCCTCTCTGACCAAATTTGGATCTTCCTAGTTGTTCTATTGTAAAAAAAACCATTGATATCAAAAATCCTTCTTTTTTAACCCCCCAATCCCCACTGAACTAAATTTTTTTTTTTTTTTTTATAAAAAAAATTTTTTCTTGTCATCAAACCGGTTAACCTGTCTTTCTTTCGAGGTTTTATAATCAGAAGAAATAAAAATAAATAAAATAAATAAATAAATATACTTGTTCCCATTTGAAGAAGGGTTTGTTATAAAATAAAAAACATATATATAACCTACTCATTTTATCCCCCCTCATAAATATACAATACGCACATAAAACATTTATATATATATATATACCCCCAAAAAAACCTACTTCTCAAAGTTGCATCTTTAGTAGTGTTTTTCTTTTTTTAAAAAAAAAGCGCGAGCCGCAAACAGTCAATAAACCTGTGTGACATAAAAACATTTTGTAAAAAAAAATTATATACGAGAAAAGAAAGAAAGAAGAAGCCCATTCTACGGTTTTTTTCTTTTTTTTACACTTTCGCTGCGCGAGAAATTAATTTCCCCCTTTTTGAAGTAAAAATAAAAAATTCATCAAAACCCGCATTCTTACACGTTAACATTAAAAGCACAAATGTCTACCGAGGTCATCATCCCCGGGACTCCGGATGTCCATTTAAAAGACGACCAGGTACTTTCAATAATAAAAGAAGACAACTGTTCCATTGATGTCGTCCACAACAATAAAATCAAGCAAGGTGACCTTGACACACCACCTTCCCCTGGTTCACTAAATCCACCGCCTCCCTATTCTAAATGGGATGAGCTGAGCATTGAACAATTACTTGAAGAGAGTCGTGAAGTACTCCTCGGTCATACCGAATATTTGGCAAATGGTGGTGGTGAAAAAAATGGTGAAATGATTAATAAGGTAAGCCATCCCGTCCGAGTACGTGCCATATTTTATCATACTTTTGTGAGGTGGCAATTTTTTAATTTTTATAGTTTACATTGAAATCATTGTTAAAAAAATCATTTGAAAATTTCGACCCTTTCTTCATTTAACAAAGTTGGAAGTTTCAACTCAAGAAATTGAACGAAAAGAATTCATAAAAATTAATGTAATGGATCGGAGATTATTCTCGACAGATTAAATTTAAAAAAATCATTTCGATTGCATATTTTCTAACCTTAAATTCTTTGAAATCTCGTTCGTTACCTTTAGATGACGCAATTAGAATCCCTTGTATCATCACTGCAATCCATCTTGAGTGATCAAACATTCGCCATGCATGATCTGAGATCACAATTGTCAGAGTACGTGTCTTTTTTTTCTCTCTCTCTTACAACCTAAAGGTATCCTCCACGCATGTGAAAATAACATTGAACCTTGATGATTTAATTTAGTATACAAACCGTTCTCAAAAAGATGCAAGACAAACAAGACACCATGACGAGTGAAGAAGTTATGAAACAAGTGGTCACAATGAAGGTACAAAAGCATTTTCTGGTAAATCATCTGAATGTAAAATTTATTTATCAAGTGATCGTTTGTGTATATAATCATTATATAGGCTCTTACCGAAAATATCATGCAATCAAGTGAGATCAAGAAACAACTGGATGCGAGCAACGCCGCAAAGCTTGCTGCAATCAAACAACAACAATTGCATCAACAAGAGGTCGTCGTGGCTGAAAATATAAAGTTAGATGATAACAAGATCTTACAAACATCCTCATTAGAAGAATTTCATCTCCCTTCAACGCATTCATTATCTGCGATCTTATTGGCACCTCCTGGTAATTTGCCAATTCATTCAATACCTCGTGCGGTGTCAAGGCAGCCATCCCGAGCTGTTTCCCGTGCACCTTCACGTAATCCTTCAAGACCTTCCTCAAGAACCACTTCTCGAACCGTTTCACCCTCTATCACCCCAGTTTCCTTGTCACGTACATCGTCAAGGAATAAACTTGAATTACCTTCATCGGAATCTTTTAATAAAATTCACACCATAAATGAAAATTGTGAGGAAGATGATGACGATGAATCTTTTGTTGAAGACCCACAGTATGCTCGAATGCTTAAGAATATTAGCTCATTAATCTATGAAGCCACAGAAGCTGTTGAACTTCCGGTAAAAGGCCGAGAGAAAGATAAGCGTACGATTTCAAACTTCAGCGTGTCATCCCTTGATGCCGATGATCTTCTCGATATGATAGATGACTTGGATGAGGATGAGGATGAGGATGAGGATGATGAATTCGAGCCACCAATTGTAATGAATAGTCTAAGACCCGATAATGCAGAATTTGCAAAGGAAGGCAGATGGCCAAAGAAACATAAACGAACAAAGAGTGATTGTAACAAGGAAGATTTCTTAAAGAGTTTAAGTTCCTTTGACAATAGCATGACAGGTTTGGCGAATCTCGTTGCGGGTTTAACTGAAGAGCTTCCAGAAGATGAAGGTGACGCGATTAATGGAATTCAATACAGGGTTTCTACCAACGATCTAATTAATAATCCAAGTTCGGACGTTCCAGATTTAGATGATTTTTCGCAACAATGTCGTCTCCTTACACGTGCGCTCATCCTTCCTTTCTTACATGCCACCCACTCCTTTATGTCCGAATCACTTCAAACCACCAGTAATGTACAGACACCTAGATCGGTAACGAGCACGACTCGAACTTTTATGAACTTGATGTACTGGACATTTTTATTCACCCTCGGATCCTTAGTTTTAGACGCATGGTTATGTGAAGTAGCCGGGCGCCAAGTGATTCGTATGGTTGAATTATTAAAACCTGGTCAACCTTTCGGTATTATTCCTAGTGGATATGGTGGTTACGACATGGATCAGCAAGATGGAGGGATTGGGATGTTGGATGATGGAAAAAAAAAAAACGTCAAATTTCGTACCGGCCCTAAAATGAAGGCCGTTACGTGGAAAGGGGTAGAAAAGGAAGTAGTAGGAAGTGGAAAGGGTTGGTTGAAGGAAGGAGCACGATTCTTGACGGGTGGTCGTTGGAGTACGAGATCGACAGTAGGACGATTCGAAGATGAGGAGTGCAGTGAGGAAAGTGATGAATGGGAGATTGTAGATTTTGATAGTAGTGACGACGAGGAGAGTGTATCGGAAGATGATTCTGAGGAAGATCCCGCCTTATTGCTGCGACGGCGGATTACGAATGAACGATTGAGGCGTGCTGGACACGTAAAAAGCACTCACGAAAACTATACAAAGAAGGGAGAGATAAATGCTGTCAACAATGACGCGTTCTCAGTCAAAGAAAAAACGTGTAATATACAAGATGAAAGTAAAATATCAACAGAACCACAAGTAAATTCCGAAATGGAAGATGTCGATTATTACATGGATCAAGATGATGATGATGATGATTTAAAAATACCCGGTTCTTTCCCTGCGGCATCCAAATGGACACCACCGCCATCCACATTGGTCGATATAACAGAGAGTGTTCGACGAGTGCGTAGCGTCGTACTTCGCAAGCCAAAACGTAATGGACCATTTGGTGGTAGTGGAGGATTTTGGGTCATGAATACTCGTAAGGTTCGAACATTAAGTAAGAGCAAGGACAATGACGTTCTTAAAAGTTCTAATAAATCTAGCTCTATAAAAAAGAAAATTTCAAAATCGAGTCCTAATCAAAAAAGAACGTGGGTAAGGCGAAATAGCATATAGAATAATAATAATAATAATAATAATAATAATAATATATAGTATATTTGAACATTTCGGATGGCCGTTGTGCCATTTTTCTCGGAGGGTATCTTGTATATTAACTTTTTATAAAAAAAAATGGACAGTTATTTTTCTTCTCTCTTCTTGTATAGTACTTTTTTTTTTCCCCTCGTTCGTTTTCCTCACCGATACTATGCGAACTTTTATTCTTTCGTTCCGTTGAGACCTTTTTCTTACTTCCTACTATTTGTTTTTTTTGCTCTTTTCCACAAGCATCAATCGTCTTTTTATAATATATATATTCGTCTTAAGAATGACAATTTGTTTTAATCAATTCATAATTCATTACTTTATCAAAATATACTTATACAATTTTTCTTTTTAAAAAAAAAAAAAAAAACGTATTTTTTGACTATTTTCGTATATATATATTTTTGTTTTATATTTCTTATTTTTTTTTGGTTGAAGTTTTTGGAATTTTTTTTTTTTTTTTACAGATTTTTGTATTATCTTTCAAATATTCAAAGAATAAAAAATTTTCGGTCATGATGATAATCTGAACAATAAATTTATTAACAGTACAATTGACAAATTTAAATTTATAAATTTTTATAATCACTTATACTACATAGTTTTTAACTTCTAAATAAATAAAAAATAAATTAATTTAATTTAGAACAAGATTTTTTGATCATCAATTAAAAAATTTTAAAAATACTTTTTTTAGGGAAAAAAATTTATTAAATTTTAAAAAAAAAAAAAAGAAAAAAAAAAAGAAAAAAAAGGTAATGAACGGATATATAACTTTTGTTTTTTTTTACACGATTCAATTTTTTTTTTTTTGGTTTTTTTTTTTTTTTTTTTTTAAAAAAAAAAATATACTACATAAGAATAGAATTATTGTCCAAAAATATATATTATTATTTATATGTATATGTATGTATAGATTAAGTTGTCGGAATTCACAACTTTGAATAGATGTTTTTACAAGCCAAATTGAACATGTTCCTATTATTTTATTTAAAAGGATAGAATTCGAACGATTAGTAAAAAAGTAAGGAAAGATTTCTCTCTACATACTAAAAAAAGAAAATCATCCGAGGTATAAAATTTACCATAGCGACTTGAACCGATGAATCTTCTCGTCCGACCTCCCAGAATCTGTTCACCCTGTTAGCATTCTCGGAACCACCAATCAATCCAAAAGGATTCATTCGTCCGGGGATTGTGTACCTTCTGGTAGGTAACTTTTTAAATTGGATAGCCTCAGCTATCGACTCTGAAGCACGACGTTGCAAATTTGGTGGATTGTTGTTATTAAGCGTACCAAGGTCCGGTGAGGTGCTGGTTGGTGTGGTAGGTGTGGTCGAAAATTCATCACTATCGGAAGAATCCGCGGATGAATCTCGGAAATGATGAGAATTATGTTTTGTAATGCTGGTACTTGGGGAAGTGGCCGTACTCTCTTGGTCGAAGCTATTGTTAACTATTAAGAATTCCTTTACGTATTGAACATAGGGAATATTGAATGGTGACGACATGTTTTTTTTTTATATTTTTAACTTTTTTTTAAAAAAATATTTTTTTTTTTTGGTTTGAATTTCTGAGAAATTACGAATAAATTTATTGAAAGAAAAGAGAAAAAAAAAGAAAAAAAAAATACGTAATATATATACAGAAGGTAACTTTTTTTTTTTAAAAAAAAAAGTTTTGGTATTAAATAAGAATTTTTACAATGAAAAAACAAAAAAGGAAGAAAATGCGTGAAAAAAATGGGGACCAAATAAGGTTGTATATCAAAGAATTAGGAAAATATTTTCAAGAATCAACTATTGAATTTAAAGATTGATTGGAGTTACGCACAAGAAAAAATTTTAAGGAGTTTTATTTATATTATTAAGTAGAGAGAAATAGAAGAGATAAGAAAAAATGAAGAGAAAGTAGAGAAAGTAGAGAAAATAAAGAGAATAAGAGAAACTTACGAGAATACAGAAAATACGAGAGGAGAAAAAGAAAAAAAAATGGGTTTGATGAAAAATTAAATTGAGGGAAATTTTTTTTCTTCCCTTTTTATTATACAATTTATAAATAATATTTACAAAGAAATTAGAGATTTTATAATATAGTGAAGGTTTTCTTTTTTAGCAAAAAAAAAAAGCCAAAAAAGTGTCCCGTCGGTCGTTAACGATAAAAAAATATATATATATTTAAAAGAAAAACAGAGAAAGATATTTATATGAAATTCCGTCTACGATTCGAAACTTGGGTTGTAAGGAATATCGAGAGGAAGAATTATTTTTTTTTGTTGGGTGAAGGAAAAAAAAAAAGAAAAAAAAATCGAACGGAGGAGAGGGTTTTTATATAATAAATTTTAGTCGTCGTCGTTATGAAAATGGCGGTGTAAATATATTTCAAACAGCTGATACATACAGCAATTTACAGTTTGTGGGAGAAATCTTTTATGAAAACATGTTGTGTGTGAGAAATTTTTATTATCATTTATTTTGGATAATTGGGTAATTGGATGATTGAGAAAAGTAAGAATATAAATGTGATTTTCTAGAATTTTTTAGAGTAGTGGTCAGTCGCGTATATTGTACCACAAAAATAAAAAACCTGTAATCAGCATTGGGCTTAGTTTAACCTCGTACCAAGTTAATTATTATATTAACCTTTTTCTTTTATTACCTTTTTTTTTTTTTAAAAAAAAATGCATTATTTTTTAAGGCGTTTTTTCTTTCTTTGATGAAAAGGAACATTTTACGATAATAACATCAATCATAATCGGGTCTAACGAGAAGATAAAATGTGTCTCGTTTTTTTTATTGATAAAACAAATTGCAAAAACGCAAAAAAGATCTTATTTTCTGTTCACAGACTTTTTGAAAGCAAAATCTGTGATTGGAATGAAAAATAAATAAATAATAAATAACACAAACAAAACAACAATTGCAAAATCATGGGATTTATGAGGAATACTAAATTAAATTAAACATTGTCATTTCTTTTAATTGCTCACATTTATTTTGAGTTACAACATCCGTTTCATTTGAATAATGAAGTGAAAAAAAAAACCGCTCACCACATGATCCATCTTTTCCACGAATTTCCTTGATGCGATTGAACCTAAATGTTATCATTTTTAAAGTTTAGCATTTCCTACTTTGAAATCTCTTTTTATATACCAAATTTGGGGAAATCTAGTAATAAGGCTTGTTTGGAACATGCGAGGCAAGTCAATGTGACGAAGTTGTGCAAATATGAATGTCATAAAGGCAATAAGGTTGCGAACGAAAACCTTTAGAATCAAAGAAATTAACATTGTATGTATGTTGTGAAACACGACACCCGAATATATGATTTAGTGTAAAATGCGGTGTGATCAATTCATGCATTCCCCTACATATAAAATTAAATACTTGATAACTATGATGTTAACGTGGAAGCTTTAGAACCTATAATTATTTGTAATCTCAAGATTCTCCCAACTTATACACATGTTATTTTTTTAAAGAAAAAATGAAAAAAAAAGATGGGGGAAAGGGAAATCTTTTTATTTCTTCCTTCCTTCCTTTCTTTTTTATGAATTCCAATCATTGTTTGAGGTCATTTTCTTCTAAAGGGGCTTTGGCTTGGGGAAATTATTTGGAATTTGGAACCATCATCACCTTTCTAAATCCTTACACAATTCGCACAAAAAAATTGAGAAGGTCTTGTGAATAATGTGCGAATATTTTCTATCATTGCACATGAAAAAATGTTTCGCAAAGAGCACAGGTTGATAACAAAATATAAACAAGAAAGTTCCCCAGTTTTTTATGAAAAATTTATAAACAAATAATTAAATCATGTACTTGTTCATGGTGACAAAAAGTTTTCTTCTTGTTCAAGTCACTTGTGGAAATTTTTTTTCATTATAATCACGTTCTATTTCAAAAATACCTGGTAAAAAAAAAAGTTATTTAATAAAAAAATCTTGTTAATAAACCTGAAATCAAAATAAGAATGTTCACACACGAGTGGTTGATAATGCTTTCCCAAAAACATAAAAAATTTGCCCATCGTATCGAATTAATCCATATTAAAATTAATCATCTTAATCTTTTTTTGATGTATTCTTTTTTTAATTAAATGAAGAAAAATGGCTTTTGAGAAAATTGTCTTATTTTACTTATTTTGATTAAAAGATTGACAATTTTTAAATGTGGTCACGCGTCTTTGTCAATTTGAATCTTGATTTTTCATTTTCTATCGAATATTTATGTGTTTATCCCCGAAGAATTATGGATTACTTCATTTATGAAATCCGCTTTTACTTTTCTCATCTCATTCTGCGTAATGATCATTCCTTTTTAAGTAAAACATCTGTCATTTACAATGTTCCCTTTTTACCAAATTTTTCAACGACAAAAAAATATTTATCTTTATTCTCGGTTTTCAATTAGGGTTTGTTATTTTGTGTAAAACGTGTTACAGTTTCAAAAAAAATCGATTTTTTTTTTTGATTAGTATGTGATAAGATAACACGATTAACACGATAACGATAAATCGATAACACATCATTTCCCACCTAATTCTTGGAATCATCCAGATAACGCACTTTACCATTTGAAGTATACCTTATCTAAAATACCATGACAATAAAAAACTCACGAAAAGAAAAATTCATCATGTGAAAATTCGAAATCAATATTAAGGTAAATGAGGGATAAATTCAGAGTGAAGCAAAGGTCACAAGGCACCAAAATGTAAGCATATTTTTTTTATTCTTTATAAAAAATAAGTGCATTGTTCTTTACGCCAAGCATAATGTCAATTCATAATTTGAACAAAAGAAGACCATTTGGAAGACTTAATCCTAACAAGGCATAGTAAATACGCCCACTTGAAATAATAAATTGCTAAAGGATAAAGGGACAATCTTTAAAAATTCTTGTCAAACCTGTTTTCACACCATCACTTTTTTTTAAAAAAATGCGAAAAACCCTACGCGTAATTTTTTTTTCGCAAGTTTACAAGTAGACTAATTTTAGGCGCGCGAAAATCAGAAAAACCTCGAGTAGATCGTTTATATTAAAGAAGGTTTAACAATGAATTCCTTGTCATCCATTTGAAAAGAAATGAAATAAAGAAACAACAAATATCGTAATTTATTGATATTGCGTAATTTTTGGATAATTTAGTTGGAAGGAATTAGTAAACAGCTCTTTCCTATTTTTGACAAGTGGGTTAATTTAAAGCATTATGTTTTCTTTGCCCCATTTTGCCATCATTTGTATCATTTATTTATCGTCGTTCCACCACGTGCACGCACGCCAAATCCCATAATATCAAAACTTTATGTAATTATAATAAACTTTCAGGCTCTTCTGCGCATAAAATTGTTTCTTTGTTATCTTTATAAAAAAGATGGACAAATATAATCTATTATGTGTCGAGATTTTTTTTGAATTCTATGAAGAATACATAAAAAAATTTGTCTTTGAACAAAGATGAGGGTACTTAGACTTTCAACTAATTTGGTTCGACTATTGAGTTAGAATGTCACCTGCCTTTATGACAAATAAAAAAGAAATTTATTTCTGAGATATCACGTGCACATATGTTTACGACATCAAGGAAAAAACAGAATCAGCATTTAAATAAAAATGTTATTTTAAGTTTTTACGTCCAAAAATTTTCATTTGTTTATTATTTTTTTGGTTTTTTTGATCGACAAAATCTTAAATGCGAAATATACACAAAAGTGGTTTCATCTAATAAAACATATAAATGCTCTCTGTTTATTTGGAATCATTTTCTGAGAAATTTCGCCCCTCAAAATCGTAAATAAAAAAAGTAAGGAGGGGAGGAATTTATTAAAAATTAACGGTAATTATATTATTTACATTAATTATCGAAGAAGAGAAAAAAAAAAATCTTTTAAAGTATAAAAAAATGTCTTAAAACAAGGAGAAAAAAAAAATAAGTCCATCTTTGTGAGTTATACGGAATACCTTCTAATTTCTTCTTCATAAACGATACTATTTCTATTACTATGGCTAATATTAATGTTCATCATCTTTTTATTATTGTTGTTGTTCTTTTTCCTTCTCAATGATCCAAATAATCCACCTTTACGCTTTTTGATATCTTTATTGTTGAGATCTTTAATAAAGCAGTAATCGGGTTCGGTTCGTTTTAATGTAAGTGCATTATAAGCACCTAATGGAAAATCGTAAACCGTGTAACTGTTGGCAAAAACTTGTATCGGAGTTTTATGATATCTATATAATACGTTTGCTGGTCTGGAAATAATATTGTTGGTATTAATGATTTCTTCGGATGGGGTTCGTGAAGAAGATGATGATGATGGAGTCAACGGTGGTGTTTCCGACTCATATATTGATGTATCGGTGGGAACTTGAGCGGTCATCATAATGCAAAGTTTTGAATTATTCTATATATTATATATAAATGATTTTTTTCTAAAAAAAAGAAGGAAGAGAATTTTGATAAAATTCTCTGGGGGAAGAAATTTTATTCTATTTTATTATTTTATTCAAAAAAAAATTTTTTTTTTTCTTCCAACGAAAATTGAATGTTTCAATGCTTTATATATAAACAAGTCGTATAACACGAACGCCCATACCTAACAATCTTTACCAATTCTGAACATTATCATTTAATGAGCACCCTATACATACTAAAATTAGTTTAAAATCTAAAAAAAAATTGGTGTTCGGCGAAATTCGTCCGTTATCGGGTTAGTCTTGATCAATTTCTAGAAATAAATTCTCTTAGTTTATTTAAAATTTGTACTTTTCGCTAATTCTATTACTCCTTAAATAAATAAATAAATAAGCATCTACCAAAAACAACTAAAATAATTTAAATCATGTGATGGGTGGTGTTCCCCCCCCGTCACAAAAAGAATTTCCCCAAAGGTTGAAAAAAAATTTTTTTTTCTCCTCCTTTCTTTCCCGTATGCGTGTTCATATTTTGCAGTCTTTATAATAATGAAACTACTTTCACAATCTTGATAAATAATGAAATTCCATTATTCAATAATACACTTGCTTCTTTTAATCACACAAATCGCTTTCGCAAGGAATCATCATCATCATCATCATCATCATCATACAACTATAAATCACATGACTCCAACACTTACCACCACTGCTAGTATGACTATTCGGACTGCGGTATTAATTCCTTCAAACGGTTCACCTAATCCAACTTTATCACCTACTAACGCTAAAGTTCTATATAATGTGTCGCCTTCATACAACGTTTCCTATGGTGAACCAGGTAAATATTACGGCTCCTTTCCGAGGAATGGTTTCGCCTGACGCAGTACCCACTTACCCTGTATAATAAACCTCACCCTTTTTTATATATAGCTCCATTCCTAAAAACGCGAAACTCATGGCAAAATGTAATATACGGAATAATATTCATGACGATTGGATTAATTGAAATATTCTTTGGTTATAAATTGATTCGAATAACATTGCTCCTCATGGGATTTCTCTTTTGGTGTAAATAAAACAAAAATAAATAATATTTTTTTTTTGATTATCGTTTTCATATATCCATTTTTTTTAACGTTCAATTTTTTTTTTGGAAAAATAGCCAGCACATCTTTGGTTGTCCTACTGATACTGGATAATTCACAAAAATATTTTCGATCAGCTTTATATTATTTTGTGATATGGTTAAGTTCCGGTACATTAGGAGGTTTATTATCATTTTGGTGTTGGCATTTAGGGTTAATATTAACATCAGCGTACGGTGGTTTCGCGTTCATCATAACATCTTTAACATTAATTCCAATCTCAATTGACATCATACGTTATATTTTAATATCATTCTTTATTTTATTACCTCCAATCTTGGTCTATAAATATGAAAGGCAATCCATCTACGTCGCCACTTCTGTGGCGGGTTCTTATACATTCTTTTGTGGTTTAGATGAATTTGCTCATCAAGGTTATAGAGAGATGATTCAATTCACTCGTTATGAGGGAACATTAAGATTCGTCCCTACGACCATCATATATATCATGATCTTACTTTCCATATTATTGGCTGCTCTCGGTATTACCTTTGAATATAAATGTCATGATAACCCTTCTTTTCATATTTGGTGTGGTGATGAATCTAGACATGATAAACCTTTAGGTGGTAATGAACTTGTCATTAAACAAAGCAAGAATTTCTCTTTTGTTAAGTTTATTATCAATTTCTTTGTAATTATCAAATTACGTTTAACTTTTCTTTTAATTAAAATGAGATTTGTTAAAGTTAATTCAAATAACGAGAAATCTGCTGAACAAGCTGATGTTAGTCATACACCTGATGCGCGTGTCATTATTAATGTTGATAATTCTGTAATTTAATCATAATTTATAATTAATACCTATAATGTATTTATATAGATATATTTATTTTTTTTATTTTAAAACCAATTTTCAATAGCATTAACGCACACTTAAAAATACAAAGCATATTTTTTTATTATCTTTATTTGTGTTGTGCTAGCAATCAAACGCTACATTTTGTATGATATATTTTTAAAAATTCCTTTTTAATATTATTATACATCAAACACTTTTAATAAAGAATAATTTCAAACAAAAAAAAAAACAATAAAAAATAAATACACTAGAATTCTCAATAGTCCTTAAAATAAACTCTGTAAATAAATATAATCTTACAAAATATAAAACGATCACTCAATGCATTTTGGTAAATATATTAATTCCACAAATATATATATATATATAATAGCATACATTCAATAAAAAAAAATAATAATAATATATACACATATATATTATTCAGTCGTTACCAAAAAAATGATTGTATAATCGTCACGATTTCATTGCAAAGAATAATCTAATTTTTAAAGTTCAATCAATAATGGTTCTTCTATCTGATGCGATGGAGATGGAGAATGAATTTGTTGTGAAGATGGAGGAGTTTGATATTGATAATAATTTTGCTGTGGAGGGGGCGCTTGTTGTTGTTGTAATGGTGTTTGATACCTAAAAAATGAAATATCACTTAATATTCAAAATGATTTAACGACATTTACTATCTTAATCCACAGTAAACTTACCCGTAATCAACCCCATAATTTGCCTGAGGTGGTGCATATTCTGAATTACTACTATTCGATTGTGGGGTATGGACTGAACCAGTACCATTTGTTTGTGGGAAATATGTACTGACGTTACCAACAGTTCCATTTGCCTGTGGTATATACCCTTGTTGATTTATATTAACGTTCGATTTATACTCACCTGAGGTTTCGGCAGCATTAATCTCATTTGAAGCTGGACTAGGTGTATAAGTTGGTGTCGGGACATAAGAGTATGGTGCGTATGATGATGATGGTGGTGGTTGTGATTGTTGTTTTGATTGTTGTTGTGATTGTTGTTGTTGTTGCTGTGGTATTAATTGTTGTATCTGTTGTGGTGGTGGTTGTGGTTGCTGTTGAATCTGTTGTTGCAAAGGCGGGAGTGAGTGTTGTTGGGTAATAATCGGAGCGCTCTCTGCAGCTTTCGGTTGAGGTGGTATGTATTGTTGTGAGTGAGGTACGGTTTGTGCCGAGTAATAAGTAGGTGATGGTGCTGGTGCTGAAGCAACTGGGTAAGAAGGAGATTGTGTATAAATATTGGAAGTATGAATGCTAGGTGTAGCAGGATATTTGGGTCCACCACCTGGAGCCATTGACGACGTAGAATGTTGAGCCGTAGGATATGTAACCAAAGACGTACGTCTAGCATAAGTATTGGACATTCTCTCTTCCATAAGTCGATCATATATCTTTAAGACTTGTGACAATTTTTCATGCATTTCTACAAGATCCTCTATGAAGTTTTCCAAATAAAAAATGATTTAATAGATTAAATTGCGATTCAAGTGATTAATTAAATCTTACAAATGTACTTACGATGTTTTTGTATTGTTTCAGCCAAATTTTTTGTTAATTTTGGTTTCAACTCCCCAATTTTATCATACAATGCCTAAATTTGGGAATATTAATTTATTATTATGTATTCGAAATTACAAACATTTGTCTTGGGCTTATATCTACCTGAACTTGTCGATTTCTCATTAAATCTCCTCCACTGTTTTGAATTCTCTCGAGCAATTCTGAAAATTGAAAAATATTTTCGGTTTCAATTGTCGACAATTCATAAGCGGAAGAGAGTTCAGATGATTTAGAATCATAAGGGTTATAAGTTGAATAATTAGAATTTGCATTGTATGAAATAGTCGAACTAGGTTTATTGATCTGCATTTCACGAAGAGAAGCCTCTATCGCTGCTGCAAGATCTTCATCCATTTCTTCTTCCTGGTAAATTAAAGTTAAAAATTATTTTATAAATAATGTTTTTTAAACACAATTGTAAAAAGTGCTGTAACATACCTGCTTATTCACGGGCTCTGATTTCTTTGCAATATTCTGCTGAGCAGGTTGAACATAATTCTTATTATATTCAGCCTCCTTCAACGAAATCTCAATTGCTTTCTTCAATTCTTCATCCTCTTGGTCAGTTTGTGCAGTTGTTGAACTAATACTATTATTATTACTATTGTTACTATTGTTGATATTATTGCTATAGCCAATATTTTCATTGAAAGATGAATACAGTGTAGGAGGCACCGCAGAACCCGGTAAACTTTTGGAACTTGAAAAATCAGCACTATTAAAAAAAAATTTTTTAAATATACGTTTCATATTGTATAGAAAATGTAATTAAAATGGGGTATTATTACCTTCTAGCCTTAACCTGTTTCTTTTGATAACAACCATCGCATACTCGTACTGGCTCATTTATGCCAATATGTGTTAAAGAAGATGTTTTGGATGAACATTCACCACAAAATGTTTGACCACAGTTTCGACAATGATGCTATATCACAAGAAATGAAATGCGTAATTAATATTTGTAAATAATGATATAAACTTAAGTTCTCGAATGTAGATAGTACCTTACGATTAAACATCGTGAATGGAGTTCTGCATCGTACACAGTCATCACTATCAGTCCATTCAGGTGGCTAGCATAAACAACATAAAATGTTAATCATCATGGCAATGAATTTTGGAAAAAGAATGAAACTAATTTTACCGTCGCGGTATCAATCATAACTGATGATGTTTGATCGACTTTTGGAAATACACATCCTGTAAAAAAAACTAATAAGTATCCAAAGTAATTTATAAAGTAACCAAGTTTTTTATGATTACCTTCTAACTTCAACAATCGATATGTTTCTGTGACATACACCAACTCGGGTTTGCCTGCAAAAGCCAATGCCCATGTTTGAATTAAGCCAAGAAGTTTATTTCTAACCTCAGGATTGGCCTTTAATAACGCGAATCATGAGTTAAATTATTTATGGGATAAAACATAAACAAATTACTTACCGTAGGAGACCTGACAATTGACAACAAACTATCTACAAATTCACGTGATGCCACTTCAATCAGGAAATGGTTCCCTCCATTCTTCACGCAAGTATCTGTCAACTGAGAATATCAATTAAATTAATAAAGGTCTATAATACAAAGTTCTGTTAAGAGACAACATAAATTGAAAAAATCGCGTAGCGATATCAATTCATGTTTGCTTACACTTAGAGCCAAGAGCTGAACATTAGGATTGGAATGAGTGATCCTTCTTTTCAGAGCTCTCATCGCATCCTTTGCTAAAACTTTTTTACTACGAATTTGATCACTGATATCAAGAAATAATATGATATCATCGTGATCTTTGGGAATAAATTCCGAAGTAGCCTTATCTACAGACATACAAAAATGTGCTTAGAAGAAGCGAGAGTTTAAGATAATAAGAATTCAATAGAACTGGGAAGGTAGTAACTTATGGAAAGGGACTTACCGACATCCTCGTCAAAAGGGTTTGAACTAAAAAGTCTCGTAACCATATTATGATTTCTTATTTAGATTTGAAACTTTATAAAAAAAACTCGACAAAAAATATTTTAACGCTTTCGTTTAGAATTATTTCTAATGTTTGGATCTATGAACCTTATATATGTCGATATTCGTGAATGACGTTGAATTTATATTTATTTACAATGGAGAATACAATAAGATGAACTGATTAGGTAATTTATATAACGCCAAAGCCACTCAAAATAACTTGGCTTAATGTGGTTACCGCAGTTCAGCTGTTCAGCTGACAACCATCCAATAAGAAATACCTAATTTACATATTTCGGAAAATATATTACCGTTTCCACTTTCCAATTTTGATTACACAGAGTTTTGAATAAGACCCGGATATTTTACATAAAGTTTTAGTTTTTAAAATTTAGATCGCAAAATTTAATAATAAATAATATATATATTCTTGAGTAATATTTGCTATTTATTTATAATTTGATAATACAAAATTATTGAATAAACGCTACAGAATTATAAATTTGATTAAATTCTATTATTCCAGTTTTGGATTATGTTGCAATCTTCATTTTCTTCACTTTCATTATTCTCACCATCCAATTCATTTCCATTGCTATCATCTTCAAATTCACTTTCATTATTACCTTCATCTTCTTCAATTCCTCTTCCTTGATTATTTACTTTTTCTATTTTATTGAAATTAAAAATTGGATTATTTTCCTTCCTATCTAAAGAATTTGATATGCCACAATACTTAAATGAATGTCTAATCATATCAGAATCAATTGAATCCTAACTTTCTTTTACCCAAGTTGCTACAAGTGAATAAGATGGTTGTATATAATCCTTAATAGCTTCAATCATCCAGTTATTATAAAGATGTTGCACATATTTTACTTAATATTAAGTTAATTTATTTTAATTAAATAACAATCAAAATAAAATAATTACCTTAAATTTAAAAGAATTATTTAATGATACATCAAGTGGTTGTAAACAAGAAGTTAATTCATCTAGAATAATAGCTAAATCTTTATTTTTTTTTGTAAAACTGATTTTTATAATATCAGTTTTATGAACTATAAAGAAGTCAAGTACTAAAAAAAATTTGGATTTGTATCTCATTTTGCATGTTATCTCCAAATGTTTTCTACCCAACAAATCATTTTATTTTTATTCATCTAACCTTTCTTGTTAGTACGAATAATTACATTATCAGAAAACTTTTTGTGTGAAATATTTACAAGTTTAAAAATAATCACATGAGATAATTTTATTCTGTATATTGTACAAGTTAAAATAACAGTATTGAAACATTCATAACCAGTTGATAAAATTGATACAGTTCTAGTATCACATCACTTAACTGTTATATTATTTGGGAGCTTTGCTATTAAAAATGGGTTCCGGTGACTTTTAACAAAAAATGAGATTTTTGATTCTTATTATAGTATACTAAATAAACTTTATTTGGTTAAATTTTTAGAGTCTATTAGCTTATTAATAAAGCAAGCAATTAA